TATCCGGCTCAGAATGCTAGAAAAATTCAAGAGATAGCTCACACAAATTGTTCAAGTCTGCTATCTAATGACACCAAAAATTTCTAGAGGAGCAAAAATGAATATACGGAGACTTTCATAAGTTAGGCCATTCACGTTCTGCCTTACATACTAACAGAGTCAAACACAGCGACCGCTGTGAGCACACTACCCTCTGGCTTACGGGTTTGCAGAACAAAAATTATGAGGGAACTTCAAGTGTAGTCCACACAGGACAAGGAAGAAAAGGAAACAAAAGTATCGAAGCACAATCTATCTAAACGTACCTTCAGTTCCACTAATCGATACTTATCAGCAGCGATGAGCAAATCTGTTGCAATATCACCGATATCCTTCTGACACCGACCACAGTAGATGTAGTACACTAGCTCGTAAACTACGTCATAATCCAAATCAGAGATTTCCAACACACCCTGAATTTGCAATGAACATGTGGCAATCTTACGTATCATTACTTAGCATATGATGGTAGCAGTTTGTTATGATAATTACTGATGATTACTGATCTTTATTATGTTTATTGATGGCGCACCTTGAGTGCATTATAAGTAAATAAATAAACAAATAAACAATCGATTAAATTACTAGATTGGCTTTTACGTTTTATAGTAAACAATTTCACCAATATTCTTCTTCTTCTTTTACAGCTATTAATCCGCTCGGTGGTGGGATCTGCTTTTGTGTTATGTCGACGCTACTTTTCCCGATTGAAAGCCTGTCCTTAGGCCACTTTCTTGGGCACGTCTATGTTGAAGCCGATCTTACGGACACTGTCATCATTTCCGCGAAGAACATGGCCATACCACCGAAGCCGAGCCTCGCGCATTTTATCAGTTGTGGGAGCTACACCGAAGCATTTCCGGATAGCATCACTGCATCATTGTATGCGAGCTAATCGTGTGACACCAATTATTAATTTCACCAAAATCATTTCTCCAAAATGGTTCGGTCCATTAGCATTGCCCTTCCAAAGACTTAGTAATCCATCGTTACTTTAGCACCATGCATTCCAATGAATAAGTTCAAAAAACATTGAATTGTAAATAGACCCACACTCTTCGTTTCGTTCGTCAATTCATGCATCAACATTGCTTGAAACACCGGTGATCTAAAAGAAAATGCATTAAAGTAAAACGCTGCGCTTGAACATACAGTACCATCATATGAAATGTGCATAATATTACACTGCAGCCAGATGTTCATTAGTTCTTTCATAGGAAAAAACCCTTCGAACTACCTCTCTTACCAGATGGTAATATGGGTGCTTGCTCGTGGGCAACAAACACAACAAACCACTATTTCTGCCTAACCGCAAACGTACTCGAATAATTCCTGAGTAAAATAATATCGTGACTGAAAGAGGAAAACAAAACAAAATGGTTGCCTATGGGACCAGATATTGCATATTTGGCTTTCATAACACACAAAGCTTCCAACGGCGTCCATAGGAGGAAAAGTGAGAAAACTAGGGAATCATGTTGAAAGAATTTTATGTAGCAATCACTAACCTCGATGCCGATGCCTAATTAACTATTCGAAATTTATCTTGTCTAGTCTCTACCTTCTTATCTTAACTTTGAAGATGTGAAGTCAATGATAACCATTAGATTGGCCTGCTTTTCGCTCCCATATTAGTCAGAATATATTTCAGTTTAACGTACTTTTCAATGCGGAATAAACCACGAAACTGTGTATCGGGCCTCAATGAAGCGATATCGATTGTGGAGTCAACAAATTCTTTAACCCATAACGGACGGCCAGTGTATTTGTTGCGTGCGCCACCATGTGGCGCACGCCGCCACCCAGGGTAGGGTTTATGTAGGCTTATGCGAACAGCAGGGTTAAGACGGGGCTAAAGTAGGTGTCCGTGTCTCATCATCCAAAAGAAGAGATTTCCGTTGACGACAAGTTCGTAACCCGCCTTTCCGCTTTAAAACTAGGGTGCAAAGAATGAATGCTTGTTTAGTGTTTATGTTCTCTTTTTTTGTTTCAGTTTTTTATGATTGGGTGATTAGCTGTGTTACCCTATGTTTTACCCTGTGTTCCTGTTTTCTTGAAAGGAAGCTATTGAACCATAGCTACAGATGTTTTTTTTTTCTTCGTTTCCTTATTATCAGCTCTGGTTCCTGTTCGTGGCTCCATGTGAACACGTTCCCTGCGCGTTCT